TGGCAGCACATGAAGACAGAGAGAGCAAAATCATCAAACAGGGTTTTTCCCTTCTGTTTTCTAATGGGAAAATTAAAGCAGATCAGAATAAATCAGTAAGTTCCCTAGATGTTTAAGCAACAAATCACCCACGTTCTTTGCTGTAATCAGCACAAACGCCACAATGAAAAATAAATGTGATATTGTCACGGCTGCTCCAAATCATTATCTGTCATTAATGGATTTGGTGTTCTCTTTTTCTGATGCATTTCAGGCAGCAGAATATGCCTTTTGGGCTAAATATGGATTGTAAATACGGAGCTGTAATCTGCACTCAGGAGCAAAATGGACTGCAATGGAAAAAAGGAGGCACAGCACTAACAGACGGCCTGAAAGTGATCCAACAGACTTGGGCAAAGAAATCTGAATAAAAAAAGAGAGAATTCATTGGCTTATTCAGTGCCTAAATCATTTCAGAACAATGAAACCTCTTGAAACATATTCAGGCGTTCCTGCCTTGGAGAATTCTATTATCATCTTTTCATTATCAAAAAAAGCATTTAAATTTTTTTTTTAAAAAAAGCATTTCGCTGGCTCAAGACTGCTAGATAACGGCGAATGTTTGATCCCCTCACAGATGAGCACGGGTTTTTCATCTGTTTGGTTAGTCGCAGCAGCTCTTTGCGGATATGCTTTCATTTAAGTCGTCTCTACTCTTCACACACACATTAAAGGAAAGCAAACTTGCACATACACCTTGTTATGCTGTGCTGAATAGAGAAGGCTGCTGCTGGGTGGTAAACATTGCAAATATAACTGCAATGCAGACTAGTGAGAAAATTATAACGCAAAGTTAGCTGCTGATGACATAAGGGACCGGTAAGAGACGCAAATCACTCTCCAACTAAAATGATTAGCCTAAATCCATTCTGTAATTCAGTTTTTCAGCCCCAAAGTAAAGCAGCTGTGCCTCAGGAACAGCTCTGTAATCAAAGCCCAGATGTTTTATCACTAAATGGTTTTTCCATAACAATAAAACGACTTCACCTATTTTATTGTCTGCAGCACAGCTGGCCTGTGAAGAAAACCGAACACCCTGAAACCCCTTTAAACTCTCACTACAACGAGACCAGCTATGTAATTTGCTGAAGCTTAAAGCATATTTTATGAATATGATTCATACCTGGTCCCAAGGACAGAGGAATGTTATACCCCACAAGAAAGTATAGAAGAGACAGTTTCATTAATAGCAGGCTAGAAACGCTGCAAAACTGCAGAGTCATCTCCTGTGCGGTGATGGGGATATTATAGCATATAGCTATACTAACCTCACAACTGCATGTGAGTGCATGTTCTACACTTACTTTTGTTGTACTCTAGCACGCAATGGGGAGTAAGATAATCCCCCCCCTCCCCAAGCCTGGAATTAGGAGGGGAGACAAAGAAGATGGAGTATGCACCCATTGTCACAAGAGATTACACACCGATAACATGGAAGTTATGTTGACAACATACATATCAGATGTTGCTGCAGGTGAAAAATGGTTTGGAGGATTTATTAGGTCGAGGTATGCACGGTGACCTGAACTTATCTTGTTACACGGAGCAGAAATAACAAACAAAACACGCTTGTTGAGGTGGGCTCTGCAGACATGCGCCCTATTGTCTCTTTCCATGTGAGAAAATGTGTTCCAGACAGAAAGTGATTCTATTTTTCTTTTCACTGCTGACCCATTTCACTAGAAATTATTGACTTACATACTCTATGCTTCTTACAGCGAACGAGTCTCATTAGTCAAATGAGGAAAAAACATGGACATTTTGTGCATGCCTGCAGAGTTTGACCTTAAAAATGCATTTCTTTTCCCAAACTATTAATGATCTTTTGCTGCCTTTTTGTAGCTCACTTAAATAAAAATTAATAATAAAAATGCACTGAGCGCCTGGAATAAAAAACAAAGAGTACTACATTGTGTCTGTCATTAAGAACATTTGTGAGGTTGATTGACTGGCTGGAAGCAGACAGGGAATCAGCTCCATAAACAACTGCCTGGGAATGCGATGGCTCGTGTGTGCTCAGGTAAGCTCACCTGAATGCAACTGAATCCCTAGGAGACAAGGGGAGCGCTGGAGTCCATCAAAACACAACAATTAACCGAGTTAGAATAACAAGGGCAGCACACATACAGGCACACAGATACAACCCCCCCACCCCAACCCCCAGAAAAAAATCGACATTCCATTTGGGCAACAGTTTCTTCAAAACAACAGACACCTCTACAAGTTAAAATGTGTGAATTTAGTCATTTGGAATGATTAATTTAAAGCTCTGACAAGGATGACAAAAAATTATACACAAGCATCACTGGTAAAATTCATCCTGTGGTCTCCTTTTTGGCAAAAACACCTTAAATGCAGCTTTAAAAGCCGGCAGTATCAACTTTAAGACGCTAAAGAAATTCAAGAGGAAAAGAAATCAAATAAACAAATGCACAAATCATTTGTAGACCACTGCACATAAAACGCAGCATAATTTGGAAGTAAATTCAATATTATTCTGTTTTTTATACACTAACAGGATTAAAAGTTGTACTTTGTAAGAAACTCTATTCACTAATTAAAAATGCTAAGCACTTTGGGATGTGGCCCAGTTGTTTTTACTTGTAGTAAAAAGCCCATCTCCTCTCTTTATGTGGCCGAGTTAATCAAGTGAAACCGCCTAAATTGCACAAGCATAATTAATCAAGGTAAACAAAATATCTGCCTGCTTAAAGCACAGGTCATTACTTTAGTCGATACTCTAATACAGCTGTGCTATACAATGGATGAGAGCGAGTCAGGTCTAGCACAGTTTCACATTTGGGCTCTGAACTCACCATTTACAATTAGAAACATGTAGAAGTCAGCAAATACATTGTTGCAAAGAGGAACTGAAGCTCTGGCAGCTCAGATTAAAATCCAACACTGTACCCTGGTTAACAAGACAACCCGTCTATCAGGAAAACTATGACGTCAGCTTCTACAATTAAAGCTAGCTTGTGGTTAGAAGTGAGACTGCCATAAGTATTTATATGGAGCACAATGAACGGCTTTGCACTTTCCATTCATCCTCCTTTGTGAGAATATATGCCAGGAGTAAATTAGTGTGCTGCCCTGTAATAAGTGCAGACAGTCACTTTATGTTTGGACTGACAATGGAACCAGAAGAAATCCTATAGGCCTTTGTGTGGTGTACTAAAACCCAATACATGACCTCACCTGGAAGGGGGAAAAACAGTAAATAAATAAATCCAATAGTTTTGCACATGTGCTGTTTAAACAATGACCAGCACTCTTAAGCACACAAATTATGGCAATCAGCAGTCAGCAGCAGGCGCATACTCGAAAATGTGACTACATTCACAGTTCGTCACAACTATTGGCATAAACCCGTGGAATCTCACTGAACAGCTGCAACATGAAAAGCAACTTTTCACACTCATAGCATTGCCAAGTGCATTTGGTAAATTTCCCAATGAACTTGAAGCGAGAAAGAGAATGTTTTCCACTGCTGAACATGACATAGTGCAGCTGTGTGCCAGTGTACAGCATTCAGCTCCTCCACAACACGGCTGTTCAAAGAGCTGCAGGCTCTGTCTAGGGATTTAGGGCAGCCACCAGCCCAGCTTAAATCTTATTAAAAAAAAAATCTTCACTGATTGCCTCAAAAACTGCACTGCAGTACGTGGTGAGTCCTTGTGGATCGGCCATCCAATGAGATCATTCATCAATTTGTTAAGCTCTTTAGGTGCCACTATAAAGTACAATTTTCATATCAAAGAATGACATTTTAGAGAGGTGCACTGTATCTGATAGTTGCCATTTTATGCTTTGTTTTGTTTGAGGACATAACTATGATTGAGGACGGAATAAGACAAAAGCTGTTTTGAAGTCTCGCAGTGAGCAGCGCTGAAAGGAGTGAATCTAATTGCCAGTCTGGAAGATAAACTACCAGTGTGGGGATATGTGTGTCATCAAGCATCAAGCAAGGTACACAGAGAAAGAAAGTGACAAAGAGGGAGAGAGGCCCACAGAGATCCATTAAAACAAAACAAAAAACAGAAAGCCCAAGTGAGACAATAATAAGGGACTGAGCCCTCACTCAGCAACAAAAAAATCTGCATGGGCTCAACTGCTGATATTCAGTACCAGCTCCTGCATTTGAGTCATCTCTTATTAGCACCCCATCCACCTGTTGAGATTGATTTTAACCTGTCAAATATCAAACCGAAGGCACGGAAAATGAGAAATGAGAATGGGAGCTCACTGAGGTGCTTGTGGGAAAAGAGGGCCCCTATTAGAGCCGTCCTTTGTGCTCACTCATCACAGCTGAAGGATAGCAGAAAGGACACACTGTCAGGCACACTGCTTCCGCTAATCGGCAACACCGGCATGATTGCCTCAAACCATTCACAGAGCCTGCGTCTGATTACATATCTACAGCTCTACTAATTAGTATCTGGCTAAATCAATCATTACTTTCTAAAAAAATAATGAGCGACTACGGTAAGATGCTAAGACTGACCTACCTCTGGCATCATTTGCAGTAGGACAAACTAATGAATATACTAATGAATATTTGAATAAAATTTTAATAGGCGTAAAACATCTAACATTCCTTTTTTCTCCGAAATGCTGGTGGAATGAAATTCACCAGAGCATAAACAAAAGCTATCCAGAAACAGTACATCTTTCCTTCTATTTCACTGCATGCCTGTTATCCCACTTACTTAAGCTGAAATAATGGAAATCTCTGCAATCTTTGCAGATGCCTTTTGATTTGTAATTCTGCCTAATTAGGCACATTGTTGAGTGGATTCAAGCCTTTCCTTTCTTAGAGAAATCTGAATTTATTAAACAGCAACAGCGTGACAAATTCACTGTATCATCCTCAAAAGTGAGCGTGTCACAGACTCATTTCAAACTTAACGGCTATCACTCAATATAACTCCAAGAGTGGATGTTTAAATTGAGGAACTTACCGCTGTCCTCAATGGAGAAATGAAAGATGTCGTTTGTCGCGTTGTCCCCATCCCTCAGAATATAGCATATGCTCATGTCATCAATTTCAGCTGAAAAAGAGCACATTTACATAAGTACAAGCAAAATCCTGCTCACAAAATTTTTGCATCAGCTATTTGGCAAAAACAACTAACAAAATATGTTCAGTTTGTTCCTATCTACTTGTCAGTGTCTTTGTGCCTGTGTGTACGCTGACAGCACCAGGGGAATCCGAGCAAAAAGAACTGCCTGAAAGGGCTGTAAACAAATAAGACTCTTGAATGATGCCGGACATTAAGACCAGCTTGACTCATGGGATGCCATCACAGCAGTCTGTCTGCTTGCCATCTTGATAGCGTGGTGCTAGACAAGCTTCCTTATAGCACTAAAAACTGCCAAGTTTTCACACTTGCTGCGTTCAATATTTTATGTCAGAATATCTCCCTTCAAAGGGACAGATGCATACAAATGTGTAGCCTAAACTTTCAAATGCCCAGGAGATAGTGTCTTTATTTACTGTCTGTTTACTCTTGTGAGAACTCTTGAAATATTGAACAGGCCTCTAGGGGAAAGCATCTCACAGTGGCTTAGCAAATAAAAGCAGGGGATACGTGGATATTGACTGTGGCTGCTATCCTGATATTTACCATTACCAAGACCCCCCTCTGGTCTGTTTGAAATGTAACGTCTGTACTGCACCATGTTATTTACAAAGCCAGTGATTTGCTGGGAGCTAGAATACCACATCTTTCTCCCTCTGACATGTTTGCATGTTCACATTATTTATCATCACGTCTGTAATTCTCTTGTCTACTGTTATATTCCTCTGGTAAAGCACAAACCACCCTAAGTTGCCTCCGAAGTGAAATTTTTTAGGCACTGTTTGAAAAATGCTCTCCTCCAGAGAGAACTAGTCAGCCTGAGGCACTAGCATACTTCTTTCTGTAAACAGGCACTCTCTAGAGTGAAAACAAAAAGTTTATGATTTTTAAGACCATTGGAGTAAGGCCATTTAAAAGTCTAAGTAAAACCAGGGTAAGATTAAATTCACATCAGACTGCTCTGAATATTTTAAAAAGTCTTCTATGTGAGTTTTACTGCAGCAGATTGCAAATCCATCAGAATGTCACAGGACTGAAAAGTTTTAAAGAGCAGCCTTCTTACCTTGCGTGAAGCTGTTGATAGTTGCATTTCCTCTGGCATGGTTGATAAGGTAGCCATGTTCTGGGGCTACAGTAATCCTAAAGGTCACAGAGTTCTGAATGCTGTCTCTGTCCTCTGCTTTCAGGGTCTTACTAGTGATCACAAAGCCCAAGTGGCCTGTCTCCAGAACCCGCAGTGTTGGGGCACCTTTATTAACCAGAACCTGTGGTACACCATTATCCACGGAGAGGATGGTAATCTTTATCATTTGAGGCTTTCGGGTCTCAAATACAGTATCGGGGAAGACATAGAAGTCTGTGTGAGTGCCATCGGTGACAGTGAAGGAGAAACTGTCCTCTGTACTCTCTGTGCCATCGTGCCTGTAGCTGATCAAGTTCTCATTCAAGTCCTGCTTTGTGAATGAGGTGACAGGCCGGGTGTTGTTAAAGAGCAGGCGACCATGAACTGGAATCTGAGTGACTGTGAATTTCAAGAGACGGTCAACGGTGTCCCTGTCTTCAACTGTTAGCTCGAAAGGTGTGATGAGTTTGTTTTCTCCCTCAGTCGCTGCCAGACTGTGTACCGTCAGTACAGGCTTTTTATTATCCACATCAGCGATGGAGATGCGGAAAGTGCGGAACACGGGATTATAGCCATCAGTCACTTCAAATTCAAAGCTATCCATTTTCACTTCATCGTCTGATGTGTGAATGTAGTAGATTTTGTTGCCAGCCAGCTGGAGCTGTGTAAAGGATGAGATGGGCATCCCAGGTGTGTCTGTGCACTCCAGGTGTCCTCTCACTGGCGCTCGGGTGATTGTGAAAACTAAGTGTTCATCTGGGCTGTTGAGGTCACTGGTACTGAGGAGGTCTGTTGTCAAAGTAACCCTGCCACCCTCTTTAAGAGATACACCTTTACTGACCACATCAGGGAAAACCATGTCTATGCTGCCGATTGTAACATAGAAGTATCTGTCAATCAAAGGGTTGATGCCATCAGTCACATCAAACTTGATGAGGTCTCGAATTCCCTCTTGTCCATTGTGGATGTACACAATCAGACCCTGATCCACCTCGTTTTGTGTAATATTCATTCCAACTGTGATATTTTGCAACGTCCCCGAAGGCGTCGCTCTTTGCAAATACCCTTGACCGGGTCCGTATCGAATTATATATGTTAGCGTGCTATCCTCAGAGTCCAGATCAGTAGCTTTTAAAACATCGCTGTTAATGACTTTCACATCACCTATCTCTATTTCAAGGCCATCATTGATTGCCATCCTTGGGGTTTCGTCGTCCACAGGGATAATCATAACAATGACTGTTTTCTCCGCAACGAACTTTCCATCTGTAAGAACAATATCAAAGCTGTCCTCTGTGGTCTCTGAGTCATCGTGCTCATACACGTAGCTGGAGGCCTCCCTGATCTGATCCAAGGTAAAGTTAGACACGGGGACGGTGCCAGTAGTGAGCTGATTGAGAATAAATCCATGCTTGGGGGGTTTGGTGATGATGAATGTCAGATGATCAGAGGGGAGATCAGCATCAGCACCATTCAGAATGGGAGTGTCAATAACTATGTTCATGCCCTCCATAACCACAAACTCTCTCATGTAAATCTCTGGCTTTTCATCATTAGAGGGGATTATGGAGATGGGGAAAAAGTGCCTTTCAGAGAAATTGATGCCATCAGAGCATCTGAATGTAAACCTGTCTTCTACTGGCTCGACTCCTTTGTGAATGCTTTGAACATAATAAATGTGATTCTGTTTGATGTCCTTGATGGTGAAAGCACTAATAGCTGTTCCAGACCTGGATTTCTCTGAGCCTGGGGCTGGGGAAATATTTTCCACATACCCTGAAGTCGGCTGTACGATGATTGTACATAGAAGGTCATCGCTGGGGGTGTCGACATCATCTGCGCTTATGTGGAGAATCTGAATGACATTCTTCTCTCCCTCAACAACAGTGAACTGCGGCCCCACAAAGACCTCTGGAGCCTGGCTGTCCAGAGGAAGAATTGTGACATGCACTCTGACACCTGTGATCTTATTTCCTCCCACAGTCCACTCATCAGACATGTCTGTCAAAGTGAGATTGAAAAAGTCCTCCTTGGTGCTCGAGCCTATCTCCCCACTTGTGTGAGCATAGACCACAAAGCCATTAATAATATCAGCTTGGGTGAATGTGCCTGATGAAACACCTCTAACCAGGATTTCACCCAATGACGGCGGGTCTTCAACTATGAAGGTTAATCTGAGGTCATCTGTGTCCTCATCTCTTCCTTGAATGACATTACTCGTGATTTCTGTTGCTCCATTTTCCAGTACATCTATGTAGGAGCCAATTGTGCCAGCAGGAAGACTTATAGTTGGAGCCTCATCATCAATTGGCTTCACATTGATCTTTATAGTAATCGGGACTATGTGCACCCCATCGCTGACATCTATTTGTATGGAATCCACTGTTGATTCATCTCCATTATGAATGTATGAAATTAGGGCATTTGCAATATCCTCTAGAGTGAAAGCATTTCCTTTGGTCATATCAGTGAATGTAAACTGGACCTGACCATGCAGCGGTGGCTGAGTTAAAGTGAAGGTTATCTTTTTGTTTTCCGTGTCTGTGTCAGAGGTGTCCAGCTCAGCACTCGTAAGGATATGTCTGCCACGCTCAAGCACAGTAAATCCAGAGTTCTTTATTTGAGGCGGCTTGTTGTCCACAGGCTTTAAAAATATAGTGAAAACCCCTTCTACAGTATTCCCAGAAACATCCTCAACAGTGTATCTAAACTGCAAAACATGAGTGGTAATTCCAAGCTCAAGATCAGGTGGTTTGTAAGCTATTTTGTGGTGATTGATTTGAGCCTGAGTGAAAGTTGTGACTTCGGTGTTTGGATTTTCAGTCAATACCAAAGCTCCCAGTACAACAGGGCTGTTCTCATCTGTGTCTGTCGGTGGCTGCACGACTGTATATTTGAGATCACGATCGTCTGAATCGAGGTCAGTGTAACGGAGGAATTTCTTTCGGAAGTAAGTAAGCTGATACTCATGCACAGTCATTTGCAGCGTCGCCCCAGGGTACAGTTCAGGTGGAAGGTCGTCAACAGGGAGAATTTTGATGACAAATGAGCCTTGACCTGATTGATTAGGTGGGTCATTGTCATCTTGAACGGTAAACACAAACTGATCCATGATTGTGCTGGTACTGTGAGGTCCAATGTGCTTGTAAAACAGTTTGCCATCAGTAATATCCTGCTGCAGCCATTCAGTCACTACTTTCTCATACATTTCGTCCTCTGTATTAAACTTCCAGGTTGATGGGTCTTCTGGGGCCTCAGACTGACGCAGCATCACCTGTCCCAGTGTGGAAAAAGGAGGCTCGATTGTGAATTTAATTGTGGAATCCTCTGAGTCGATGTCTGCTGCACTGAGCATAAGAGAGGTGATAGGCATCATTTGGTTTTTGAATAAAACCAAACCAGTGTTGGCATTTATAATGGGAGGCTCGTCGTCTGTTGGCACAACAGTAATAGGAAACAGAAACTCCACCTCATTTGTGCCATCTGTCATTCTGAAAACAATATTGTCACTGTACGTGTCACTGCCATCATGTTGATAAATGACTACACCAGCATCAAGGTCAGCTGGGGTGAAAAATTTCCTCCTGGAGCCCAGAACAGTCAATTCACCATGCCTCAGGCCATCAATAACAGTCATTTTGACTTTCTCTAAATTATCCTCATCACTGATTTCCAGATTCTGTGAACTGGACAGAGGCCTGGACTGACCCTCATACAGCAATTGTCCTGTATTCCTAGTAACCACAGGGGCCAGCGTGTTCATAGGCTTTACAACAATCATGAAAGCAAAAGGATCTGACACAGCTCCCTCTCCATCCACAACCTCAAACTCAATCTGAAAAATCCTCTCAGTGTCCGAATCCACAGCAGGGGGCTTGTAGGCAATTTTCAGCTCTTTGAGGTCTCCTTGGTAAAATGAGGTTATTGGCAAATTCCTATCATCAGTGCTTACTATGTAGCCTTCCTCAAAGGACAGGGGAGATGTAATATTGAAGATTAATTCATCGGGATTAGACTCAACATCCTCTGCAGCCAGCATATCCGTGGTTATTGCTGTCATTACAAACTGATCTACTTCCATCATCATCATGGCAACAAAGCTGGGTTTAGGAGGTATGTTGTCTTCTCCCTCTTTGATTCTGACCAGAATCTGGAAAAATTCCTGCTTGAGCAAATTGCCTTCTTTATCATGTAATTCCACAACCATCGGAATGTAATCTCTGTTAGGTGACTTCAAAGCGAAAGTGTGCTGATAACGGGTGTTCATTTTAATAAACTCATCACAGTCCACCATTGTTCCGAGGCTCTCTTCATCCACAAGTTTTCCATACCTGGGCAGCACATTGCCACTGGAGAGGGAAGCTATTTTGCACTGATGCGCACTTCTATCATAGGTGAATTCTAAAATTTTCTTATCGATGGGATTACTTGTGCCGAGCAGTTTTTCAACAGTGAGCGGCATGTTTTTCGTCAGCACCTCCAGCTGCGTAAAAATAACCTCCACCTCCATCATAAAAGGTATTATAATTGTATCCGTTTGCGTGTCGTACCTGAGTTGTAACCTCACTCTATCCTTCGGGGGACTCCGAGATCCAAAGTGAGAATACTTCACGTCATTGGGACCAAATTCACACGGAAACTTTTTCGGAGACAGGTGTCCAGGCCTTTGAGACAAAGGATCGTTGTCTAGGACTGTTATGCTGCATCTATCACCGGGCTGAACTTGGATAACCAAATCGTTGATGGGATCAATGAAGACTGATCTCCCGAAAGGCACGCGTATCCCATTATTGGCAACCAGTATCGTGTCTTCTGACAGCTCAGCCCTCAAAGCGTATGATAATCCATAGCTGTCAAAAACCTGTGCAATCACATCACCTGTCAGAATCACTGCGAGCAGAATCAGAGCGGCGCCAGTCCCGTGCAGATGCGGGTGAATAATCCAAGCCATTTGTAGAGTTTAACTGCAGAGGAAACACCTTCAACTTTGTGCATGCAACCTTGTCAACCGCGTACCTCGGTTAAAGTTGCAAGAGTACAAAATCCGAGTTGGATAATATCACGCACCTGTGAGCACTGAGGTGCACCATTCTCTCACAGTAGCTGTGCACTGATAGCCCAAACTTCATACTCCTGCCTAGCTGGAGTAAGGAGAGCCACGCCCTCCACTCAGCCAATTGGTCGATATCTCTCCTCCGGAACGCGTTAGCCAGGTTTTAAATGGACGTGGTTTGTGTCATTCTGGGCGGAAAAAGAATGTCGCGTCAGATAAACGCTCAGTTTCATTTAGTAAAAGAATGTGGTGCTATTTATGTATTAGACGTGACTTTGCGTATGTCCCTAGCAGAACTTGCAATAAGATATGTGAGCAAATTACTTCGTTTAAACACGCCAAAAGCAGACTAGCAGTCTTTATTAAATATACATTCAAATATAGTTGAATTACTCCAAAATATCCACATTAATAAGGAAATCAGAAGTCCAGCTGTATCGATGTGAGTGCAGAAGAGCTTTGTCTCCCTCTCCTGGGTTGCGCTGGAGTGAATATGCTCAGCACGTCTTCATTACCCTCCAAACTCACATTTTTTTAATACTTACTGTTGTGTGCATGATTGTTTGTTTTTAATCCATTTCGGAAATTTTGGTCTATCATTATATTAATATTTGCAATTTGCAGGATTAACTGTTTTAATGTTTTCTGTTTTATTTAAGAAGTCAATGTTTTTGTCACTAGAGATTTAAATTATGCTTAGAAGGCAGTCCTCAACTTTGTTTTTAACCCTGCTCACAATCCACTCTTAATGGGATCAAAAGTTCTATTTATCCAAATCATGTGGGAACATTGTCCTGCTTCTTGCTAGGGCAATCTAATCACAGAGGTCCTCCAGATGTCAGGTGCTTTCCCCAGCAGAGCACTTTCCTCTGACAAGCTGACAAGCCCAGTCATGAACCTCTCTCTGTACCACTTACCTGGAGAACCAGTGTTGATGAAAAGAACACCCACAAAGATACTGCACTACACAGCAGGGCAGGACAGAATGACTGGATTTTATTCCAAGTAGGGTTGATTTTGGTGCCATGAGCACTGCTGCACAGTCAGATAAGAATTACAAATTTGGTAGATTAAGAAATTTGTCTGGTAGAATCAGACATACGTCCAAAGGGGAGTGTATGGAGAGAGAAAAAATGCAAAATCCTGAACATGCGTGGTAATTTTACTGTTCTCACATTCAATTAAAATGTCAGCAAGAACAGATTTCTACAACACAGCCGTGGTATTCATTGAGCCCACCTGCAGGAATAGCTGCTCAGCTGTGTATATAGTATGTATACAGATACCTAAGATTCCCTGTAAATAGGCAGCAACTCTAGAGCTTTACAGTGCCTGGAAAAATCTGCCTTCATTTGCGTTCACTCTCTTTTGATCCCCTTTAGATGATTTTTCATTCTATCCACAAGCTTGTGGACGCACACATTGTGTCTGCACTTACCAATAGTTATGCATTAATGACACACAAACCATCTTGCAGCTGGCATGTGTTGAAATCAGTACACAGTAGCTGCCATAACAAACGTTGCACTTGAGTTGCACTGGACACTGTTGACAGGGTCCAATTATAAATCTAGCCCTGCAAACTGCAAGGCAAAGCTCCCAGTCCTTGACAGCTCCCAGTTACAAGAGAAAATGAAAAAGAAGATGAATAGGACTTTCTGACAGCAGCAATGGCAGAGAAGGTATTGGATCATATCCAAACCTTCAGGCTTATTTTGGGGAAGTTTGATGATATTCTGTCATATCACATTTATATCAAATTTATTGAAAATGACCAATCATTCTTAGTAGATAGAACTGTCAGTCCATGCAGCAACTGAAGACTGTAATCATGCTCCTGATGTGCAGAGGATTTATTGCTGGGTAGTAACACGTGGCCCAGGTGGGACTGAGGTTTAAAAATTGCATTTCGGCTCAATTTCACATACCACTTGTGTTTATCGAAGTAGGAGCTGATTTCAGGTTGCTCAAGTTTTCACACTGCTGACAGCTGACAACAAAAGTTTCCAGGCTCTTTGTTCGGGAGTTTGACTACTCTTTGTTTGTTTCTGTTAACACTCAAACCTTGGTTTACTTTGTTTCGAGACAACTTTGGTGACAGCTAACTACACTTCTACCAGCCGTCCAAAGACAGCGTCTATGTAGAACAAAAAGATACATATATTTACACTAGGTGAATCCTATATCCAAAAATGCCATGTTTTTGCTTGTTGTTTACTGAAAACCTAGCTTCCAGTTTCCTCTCAGCTGGATGCCCTCCCAACAGGCTAAATACTGGAAGACTTGTATTCCCTCCTGTCAGTAACAACACTCTTATTTTAACCATTTTCACAGAGATATACATCATGTAAGGCGCCTTGAGCTCTGAGAAGTGACATCAAGTCAACCTGATACTTGGATAATGAGGCGCTGCAGGATGGACCATCTGTGCCTTCAGCCTGAGCTCAAATCTGGAGCCAAACAGACTCTTCACATTGTTTTGTTATGTGTGTATTCTGTCATTATTAACATTATACCCTTTAAATGTGGGTGGAATGCAACTCATAAGAAAAGCAATATTGTAATTAATAGACCACACAATGCATTAATTAAATCTGAATTAATTAAGCTGCTTCCCTTTCTCCCTTGTGCTCTTGATAAATGTCTCCTTTGGCACTACCGTGTTTGCTTCAGAGTTCATAAGTGACTCTGTTCCAACAATTGCCTTGACTTATCAGGACTATTTTTGCTGGTGGTCATTCCCTAGAGACAATGCAACCCTGGACTCAGTGATCTCATTAGGGCTATTTTAGCTCATCATTTCTCTGTAACACTGAGTTGAACCTCTAAGCTGAAAAGATACCAGCTTCTCTGCCCTTCCCTATAAAAGTATAACCCACAAAAGCACGATGCACAGCCTACCAGCAGCCAAATCCATCTTCTCTCGTTTATTTTTCTCTTGGGATACTAAAGAACAAAAAGGCAGCTGATCTAGTGAAGTGTAATCATATTCTTTATTTGCACTCCCAAATTCCCCAGGTGTCTGTGAACCC